GTTGCAAAACCAATACAACCTCCAGAGGAAAGCATACTTTCACTAATGACTCTTTTACAAGTTACACAGTAGTCCTAATGAGTTACTCCTACAGATGATCTCCTTCAGAGAGAAACAGAAAGAGGTTACAGAGATACAAACAATACTGGCAGGAAATGTCTTTTTGCGTGGGTGGGTGTGAGCAAATGGTTTTCCCAAGCACATGGATTTGGATCATGTGAGTGTGTCTCTAATGTGTTTGATGGATAAAATGACTTTGAGATCAATCAGCAGTGTGCCTGCCACCTTCTACCTTCCTCGCTTTGGCAATATATCCGGTCTAAAGAACATGAACTGTAGGTTTTTCTATTTGTTTGTTGGTTTGTTTGTTTCTTACACCATTTCATTTTTTATAATAAATCAGCTGTGTTTATGCCACATTTCTGTTTCTGTCACAGCGGCATCTTTAAAAGAATCTGCAAATGCAGATCAGTAGCTAAGCCACTAATGTAACCAAGGATTTTTTATTGTATTTTTTTAAAAATGTAGTTGTTATTTCATTAGTTTGAGCCTGACCCATTGCCACATAGTTTTTTATTCTGCGACCGGCCGGTGGACTAATCTGAATATTGAGCAAACAGTTGGGTTCTACAGATTTTATGTTTGTTGAGTCACAAAATGATCAAAATTAAAATCAAATGTGATGTCTCTCCTTTTTTGAGAGCATACAAAGGTAGCAGAAAGATTATGACATCATTTTATGTTCAGATTGTTTGTTGCGTCCCTTAAAAGACAAGCTGGGCCCTTCTACCACAAATAGTTTTTTTGTTTGTTTCAGATTTGGTCACTGGATATTTGGGTCAGCAGCATTCTTACTGCAGACACAGACTATTAAAAAGAAAAGAAAGAAAAAACAATACTGGACCACCGCTGTTGTAAATCTTCCTCCATGTAAAATTTATGAAACCCAGCCCAAGTACAGTGGCCAGTCAATCAAGTGACATTATTGATCAAATGAAGGATCTACATAAGATACTATAACTCACATAAAATTGAGGATTGATGGGCATTTTTCACATTAGTATGCTCCTGGTATATATTTTTTTAAAGTCTGGGATATGTATTCTTCTGTGGGCTCTCTGCCCAGAACTCATCAGTCAGTGAAATGATGATCTGTGACAGCAATTATGTTAAAAAGGTGGACACATGTAAAGGTGCTGCAAACTGAAATCAATACACAAGGGCTTTCATTACAAACAGACAACTAATCAATACTCAGGGAGCACTTCAGCTTACAGGAGTAAGTTTTACTCAACTTCCTGTGAGCCTCGACAGGCAGTGGTCTGTTGCATTATTCAAAGTCTGCTGGTTAGTAAGGGCAAGGGTAAATAATTGATTGTTTTCTGGGTTGAATATACACTGAGGCTAAACAGGCTTCTCACTGTACTTCACCTTCTCCCTCTGTGCACAGTCTAAATCCGGCTTGCAACAGTAGGTGGAGCAAAAAATGTTAAATAACCTAACAGACATATTAACATGAAACCGTTAAGAAAATTGCACCCGACTCCTCATGAGCATATTCAAATGTGGCGTCGAGTAGGAACAGCTATAGCTGCCTTCGAAGCGTTTTGATTTGCTTTTTAAGGTGGGAGCATTTATCTTTGAAATTCATCTTTTGTTTGTTGGTGACGGAGGAAATCGTTCACTGTGACGCATCACACACGTCAGCCCCCCCCCCCCCTCCTTTTTTTTCCTTTTCCTGCTCGAATAGAAAACTTCGATCAAACTTTCTCAACTATAAAGGGAAGTTATTTAAAAGCTAAAAACCGAACAAAACAAATTTACAAATTATCCCAAATTAAATTCGCGGTCATTTCACCCCTCCCTCTCTCGCTCAGTGTCCCTGAACACACACATAAAAAACTTACCCGCCCGGTGCTGACTCCTCTTTACTCTCATCCACTCAAAAGTTTTACTCCTTTCATCCGTATCAGCTCCTTTACAGTCCGGGCTCGTGGAGCTTCCCACGGCGACGTGAATCTCGGGGATATTGTGAGGGTAAATTTGAATTTCCTCCGTAAGTGACCCAAAGCGCTGTGGCTTCTCTTTATTTGACGCGCAGTATCCACGTCCTGGAGAGCCCTGCCCCTGCACCCTGCACCGCCAGGGGACACGGGACGAGTGGGGGCAGGCCAGTGTCGAGAATCCCTCCAGAGCCTCAAACCCTGGAGGAGGAGGGCTGTCCGAAGAGGTGCACAAAGTCAGACGCGGAGAATAAAATCCCGAGGCAACTTCTACCTCCACTTTCCCCTCCTCATCACGACCACCGAGTTCAGGATGAGACCTGCTGCCCAGGTCCTGGTTTATAACCTCTTTTGCTCGGCAGCAGCCCGTTAACAGAGGGCTATTCTCCCCTTCGGCCGTTAACTCTTGATAGGAAGTCATTATCACCTTTCCCCTGCATAATCATTGGACGGGCTTGCACTTCATGCCCGGCCTCTCATGCATGGTCAGGCGGCTGGACGACCGTGGGGACATTCCTCAGAGGAGAAACAGCAGTCCCTGATTGATGGAGATGACGTGCCCTCCCCTTCTCGGCCAATAGCTGGACATCTCTGTCATCAGGCTGGACAAAACTGATTAAGCCGAGCAAGCAAGTTGCGAGACTCGCTTAAGGTCAACATTTTTAATGGTGTCCGAGCACAACAAGCAGGCCCACAGAACAAAACTACAAACATCCTTAGAAAGCAGCAGGAAAGTCAATCATCATCACACTGAGGACCTCTGTGGGCCTCTCACCTTCAGACAGGTAGGACACGACGCCAAAAAAACACAGTTTTTGTCCATTTAGACAAAGTCATATTCTTCCTCACTGGTTATTTTTCAAGATAACAATAAAAAAACTTTTTGTCCAAAGTCGAATTAGCATAATATAAGTCTACACTGATGTAGTTAATGGATTATGTAAATTTTTCAAGGCTTCTTGAAAAACCCAGGGCCCTCTTTAGCAAAGGGCTTAGGTCATGTGAAAGACACACTTGACGGGTTCAGAGGTCGTGACAGCTGGTATTTAGAAGTTCAGTGGCAGCAGATTTGTAATTAGTCTCGAACAAATACAAAAAATGGCTCCGCGTGAAGATCAAGAAGCTGTAAGTGGGAGAGAGGACGTGTCCAGCTCAAGTTTGACGTGCTCCTCAGCTGGGTTAGCAGCTGCTTTTACGACTGTACTTTTCTCGTGTTTAACCGGAAATGAACTGCTGTGGGACAATTTTCGCGCATGTGTAAACAGGGTTACATGGCTGAAAGTTGAAAGAGTGACAGAAAATATATTTAGATATTAAGAAGCGCAAAAAGCTGCTGGGTCTGCACCGCCCTAAAAGGCATTTGGTGCAAAAGCAGATCTACAGGCGCACGGCTACAGCAGCTCACAGATCAAGGAGCTCCACAGTGCAGCTGTTTGGGGTTTTTTTGTTTTCATTTATATATTTATTTATGCATTTATTTCTGGTGACCTACTTTCAAATTCACGCATCACTGTGACACTCAGCTTGGCCGCATACATTTAAAACCATGGGAATTAATAGAGCTGATAATGCCCTGATGCGCCAGTGCTAACGTCTAATATTCATTTGAAAACCACATTTATTTTCGCTTTCACTTTGATCCCACTTCACAGTGGGATATTTTGCGAGGGTATAAAAAAAAGAATGACAAACATTAAATAGCTAGCTTGTTATTTTTAAGTTTCAACGATCATGTGATCGTTTTATTTTTTATCTCTGTAAAAAAAATGCTGTGATCCTGCAAATAAGTTGAAGACGTGTAAAGAAATTTAATAATTTTAACTTATTTACACCTGTATTTTTGTTTCCCACGGACTCTTAGTTTAATTAGTTAAAAAACCAACCTATTAATTAGTAAATTACATTTTTATATATGCATTTTATTACTACTTAAATATAGTAACTACACGGTTATATTACCTTTTTATTATTATCATCGCTAGTGGTAGTAGTAGCAGCATAACTGTCATTAACATTATTAATATTAGTATTATGTGCTATCTAACAGGTAACATTTAATTAAAACCCTAACCTATAAAATATCTGCCTCCGTTCTTATCGCGTTATTTTAACTATATTTCCTATGTCTTTTAAGTCTGCAGTAATTACAAAATAATTCAGCGTAATGAACAACTTCTAACTGCATTCTTACAACACAGAAATATGGTCCCAGCTGTGGGAGTTAATGGGATTCTACAGGCAGCGATGTGCTGAATGACTGAGTGCAATATATCCCTTCTCTCCATGCATTTGCATGGTGCACTGATCCATCTTCATGTCAGCTCGGAGGTTACTCAGGGTTCACGCGCTAGCTTGTTTCTCTCCTCCACACTCTAAATAAATCTCTGCAGCTTTCTGTTTACCGCCTGAATATAAATTTGTTTGCAGTCGATCGAAGACCTGTGCGGAGGTATTAGAAATTGTATTTCTGTAATGGCTTTCAGCAGAGGGAGGCGGGGGACGGGAAAGGGTTGCAGAGAGGGGAAAAGAAGAGGAAGAGGGGAAAAAAACAGGTGCGGGCAATCTCGGTTTTTACATTTGCAAATGATTTTTTTCCTTCCCCTTTTTTTGCTGCAGCCACAGACTATTGCAGCCTTTGGATGCATTCAAATTGCATTCAAAATCAAGTAACCTTTTTTTTAATCTCATAGAACAACAACAACAACAACAACAACCCATGTTTTATTCCTAGAAGTGCCATATGCTTGATTAGCATATATGAGGTGTTGTTCCACATCACTGCCCGGTGGAACAGAAGTTGCATGATTTTGTTTAGCTCAGACTCCTTCCTCTGGACAGCTTGTGTCCCCTTAACCACAAATTTTGCACAAGATTTAGAAAGAGTATAATCTCTCTGTTTAAATGAAATGGATCCTGCAAATACAATTCTGAATTTGAATCCCCCTCAAACCAAACTCTGCAGTCTTACACACATACCAGGAATGGGAATATTCTGCCCATAAACACCTGAAATACCCTCTTAAACCTGAGTGCAGACATTTTCTTCCTTTCCATCATTATCCCCGTAGTCTCTATTGTTTTGACTGGAGGTGAGGTAAACATGGCAGCACTTAGGTGGCTGTGTCAGGAGCCAGGAGGAGGTGGGGGGAGAATATTGACCGATGTTAATTTGTTTTGCGTCCATGTTCTGATGTGTGTCAATAGGCAGTCAAGGCCCTGGGATCAGTGCGGCCGTGCTCGGATTACCTCCTTGGTTTTGAAGTGAACTCTCATCCTGCTGCTGCTGACATGATGCTGCAACCGCAGTTGACACCAGACCCTTGTGTAGCCCTGCAACACTGTCAAATCTCATTATGTGTCAGCTCTTGAACCTCACAAGGCTGAGAATGTTAATGCAGTTCCAAGACGGGAAGATGACAGCTATCTATGCCATGTTCATGGTGGGAAGGCTCATCAGACATCACGATAGAGCTGTAATATGGCAGAGGGACAAAGAGAAATAATTCAAGGTACAGAGAAAGGACTGAAGAAGAAACACACACAGAAAGCGTGGCACACTGACCAGTTGAAAGATGGCTATCTGAGTGATTGATGGTGCCTGTCGGCTTTTCCCCCCCCAAATATTGACAATTTTGAAAAATCCTTAGGTCAGAAGTAAGGTTTATCTTAGCGTATACCCAGACCACACACACAATCCAGGGAATACCAGCTGAAAACAAAATAACCCATCCGCTCAGTGTGAAATTCTAATAATTGTTCTTGCTTCATTGTTGAATAGCAGAAATCTGTCTCGGCACATGAGCCATAATCATAAATCCAGTGCAACTACTTTGCAAATGGCCAGGGACATTACAGATAACTGCATTCTACACAGGCTCAACAGTGTGACAATGAAGCAATACCTTACTAATACCAGGACTTTTCAACTATAGCCTGTAGTATGTGCTGCAGCGCTTCACAGCTTCAGTGAGCCAGGAGGCTTCGAGTCGGCAGAATCCCAAACATCATGACAACAAGCCATCAGTCATCTTCCCCCCAAGCTGCTGTGCACACTTGTGTGTTTCCGGAGTTCTTACTGTGGGAAATGAGCAGGGTTAAACATGAAACAGGAGGAAATGTTCATCATTGCAGCACACTCTGTAATATTCTCCCTCATACAGCATTGTTTTAGCTGCAGGGAAAGAGGAGTTGCTTTTATTTATTTATTTATTACTTAAACATCCCCTGCTTGTTCACAGCACAAATCAGTAGTCTACTGTGCATGCTAAGCATGGTTAATAGCAAAGTGTTGATAGAACAGCGATTCCATATTAATAAAACACTAATCCTCTGTTTAAGTTAAAGATAGATTATTCTTTTAGTCTTAAGTAGGAAAATGTCAGCAATGGAAAAAACGTAAAGCTTTGAAAGAATGCTGGGTTTTTAGAATATTCATATATTAGTTATATGTCTTTTGTGTCTTTTTAAGTCGTTTTAAAGTAGTGAAAACAATTTGTGTCGCCATGTCTGCCAGTCTGTCAGCTTATTCGTGCATTTAGATTTAAGTATTCAGACCTAAATCATATTTTCCTGGCTCCAGTTTTGGACTTTCATGGATCATGTTAAACAAATTTCCTTAACAGTAACCATGAAATATGTGAAAAGTTTAATTTAAAGTTCTGTTATGAAAATTACATCAGCAACATTATTACACTGCAAAATTAATACTGCAGTGAAAATGAATGTCTGTCTTTTTGAAGTATCGAATGTTTCATTAAAATTACTTTCTGATGGTTTCATTGTCCCACAGTGCTGACGTAAAAATAATACGTTTGCAAAACTAAACAAGCTACATGTCTACTCAATTTTCCTTATCACAAGTCAGGAAATAGCCATTAAATTGGGACACCTGAAAGCCACTTTATTAGGTATTCCAAGTGAAACCCAGTTGAAATAATACAAGATAAATGAAGCTGAAAAAACCTTTGGCTCAAACTGTTTTAGAAACCTGCTGTTTGTGCTGCAGTTAATAATATTTTACTGTTTACAGGACTGTGTTATTACACTATTTTAATGTATTTGCTAATGAGAGTCCAGTGAAATGGAGCTGTAAAACGTCTGGAATATCTGTTGCTATCCAGGTACTTCAGCTGAACAACCTAAAAATGAACTTTACCTTAACTTGTGTATGTCCGTATTAGGCATTATGTAATTGGGATATAGCAGCATAAAATCCCACTGTGGACACCACCTACAGATGTAGCTGATATCTGAGAATCCGAGCCGAGTCTCTCCAATCTGAAACTCCTTTCTGTGTGTGTCAAAGGTCTAAAACATTACGTCAGTTTGCAAACTGTGTGTGCAGGCTGATAGGTAACACTATAAAGTATTAAGGAAAATCAATTATGTTTATTTTCTTGTGCTGTTACAGATGGTCTCCTGTCTCCAGGGGAGGCTA